GATTGTAACTTTATTCAGCTGTCTGTAATCAACACATAATCTTATTGAACCTTCTTTCTTCTTAACCAACAACACCGCAGCACCCCACGACGAAACACTCGGACGAATAAACTTCTTCTCAAGTAACTCCTCCAACTGTTTCTTTAACTCCGCTAATTCAGATTCTGACATACGGTAAGGCGCCATCGACACCGGACTAGTTCCAGGAATCAAATCTATAGTAAATTCTACCTCCCTCTCAGGTGGCAATTCACTAACGTCTTCCGGAAACACCTCTGGAAATTCATTCACCACTGGAAATCCATCACTCTTTGCTTTTCCCTCCGCTTCTATTGCAGAATACAACATAAATACCATAGCACCATCTTTCACAGCTAGGTTCATCTGTTTAACCGACATAGTCACATCTTCGACACCAACCTCTTCAGGAAAAATAACCGTCTTCGCAAAACAATTGATATGAACCTGGTTGAATTCCAACCAATTCATTCCAAGGATGATATCAAGTTGTTCTAACGGTAGGCACACTAAATCCATACCGAAACCCCTACCAAAAATCACAATAGGACAATTCCTACAAACATACGAAGTAGTCACTGAACCCGACGCAGGAGTATCAATAACCATACTTCCATCCATATTAGAAATTTCCAAATTCAATCTTTTAGCACAATCCAAAGCAATAAAAGAATGCGTAGCTCCAGTATCAATAATCGCAATCAAAGGTATGTCATTAATAAAACATGTACCTTTAATCAGCCGATCATCTGGCTTAGTCTCTGACCCAGACAATGCAAACACTTTACCACCAACTTGCTCCTTCTTGGGTTTTGTACACTGAGGACGAGTATGACCTTCTTCACCATAGTTGTAACAAGTCACCACTCTTACTCTGCAATCATTGGCCACATGGCCGAGTTTCCCACACTTGAAACACTTCTTATCATTACTTTTGCAATCCACCATACGATGTCCTGTCTCACCACACTTGTAGCACTTAATGGAAGAACTAGAATCTCCTCCACCAAACTTCTTCCAACCACCGGGTCTCTGATTACTTTTATCATAAGGCTTACCACGATCCATCTGTTGCTTACCCTTCCTATCAACATACCCTCAAGCATTCGACTTAGTGCTAGCAAGATCCTCCTCTAAAATCCTACTACAGTCAACCAGATCAGGAAATCTTCGGATACGCTGATACCGAATACCCTGCTTAATCTCATCACGAAGACCATTCTCAAACTTGATACATTCGGAAAATTCTCCATCTACATCGTTAGTATAATGAGCACAATACTTCGCTAACTCAGTAAACTTCGAAGCATACTCACTGACAGTATTGTTACCCTGCTTGAGTTCCAGAAACTCAATCTCCTTCTTGCCTCTGATGTCCTCAGGAAAGTACCTCCTCAGAAAAGCCCTCCTGAACACAGCCCAAGTCAACGCAATACCATCTTCTTCCATTTCAGTTCTGGTAGCAACCCACCAGTCATCAGCTTCCTCTGCTAACATGTGAGTTCCGTATCTCACCTTCAGCCCTTCAGCACAGTCAATTACTCTGAAGATCCTCTCGATCTCCTTCAACCACTTCTGAGCACCTTCGGGATCATGTGCACCCTTGAACAACAGAGGATTATTCCTCTGAAAATTCCCCAATTGTCGGTCAACACCAATCACAGCTCCCCGCTGGTTCCCTCCGAGTACTCCAGCCAACATTCCCAATGCTTCAGTAATATCATCGTCGTTTCTTTCGTTACCTCTTCCAGTCATTGTTCTGTAACATTACAAAACAACCTCATCAGCATACAAGTATCGACAGTGTCATCTTACACTAGTCGCATACAAAAGGGATAACGACACAAGACAAGACCGACTATGCTCTGATACCACTATTGTAACACCCCTTCTAAAATACCCCGAATAATATTAATTATATCAATGATTAAAGACATATTCCATTAGAGTTAACACGGAACAAGGGATGTCACAATTATGAAATAAATAAAACTTCCAATAAAACAGTAGTCATGCTACACTGAGGGTCATTATTCAAATAATTCAATCAAATTAAGACCATGTCTTACACAGTGGAAAAATACCATAACCAAAACGGAATAAACCAAAACATAATTATTCCCAATGAAATTCAAAGAAACAATTGAATAATAACTAATTCCTCAACTAAACGTTCCCCAGTGTTACAACCTATCAGAGCACGACACTGACACGCGGACTTAAAGTAACATAGCTCTAGAGCCATCCTCACCAACTCCTGAGCTGCTAACTTTAATCTTAAATTGTTAAAGTAAGGGTGAGATTTATCATAATTAACATGCATTATAAGCTTCTCAATCAACATTATATCACAAGCATATTATTTCACCCATTTTAGTATAAATTCAGATTCAACACGCAGTTCCAATCATACAAGTCATTATGCACAAATCAATAATCAACCAAAGAATTGTAACACTGGAAGACATCCTAACATGTTACAATTCCATGCAAACACAAATGCAGACACAATGCATGTGGTACCAACACGTGACCAAGTCACCCAACACTGATCCATCATCAACCGGATACAGCAACCAATCGATTCGTCCATAAACACCCGGACATGAATCCAGCCTAACCACCCATCATCACCCGGGTATCGGTTAACGGTAATACAATTCAAATTCCATACAATGGGAATTAACTTCACCAAAACAATGCATATGCACGCATATCACTAGCATGCAACATCAAATCAGTCTATGAAATACATCAATTTATCATAACTGAACCAAAACCAAAAACATGATATCTCAACGATCATGCACACCATCATTAGAAACATAAACATGCCTTTCATTCACACAATACTAATACATTCATCCATCACAGGTTCACTGCTACATACACACCCATGTGCGTTAGCCAATAATCACTTATTCTGGGATTTGACTCATTTTCAAAATAATTTCAGGTTTTAGGAAATCTTTTCATTTTATAAAATAGAGCATTAAATTTAAGAAATAACATCCAAAACGGCACTCAAAACGGACTTACGGTTTGAAAGTTATGAATTTTCAAAGTTTAATATTTTTCAAAAAGTTACAGCAGAACCCGGTTCCTACATATGCAGGAACCGGTTCCTGCGAAGTTCAAAAATCACGCTTCTGGAAAAATGTATGGGAACCCGGTTCCTACCTATACAGGAACCGGTTCTTACGTGCATTTTTGCCAGTTTTTATAAATTCACACAGTGGAACTCGGTTCCTCCCCACTGGGAACCGGTTCCCACGACCTGCAGAGTCAAATTCTGCACTTTTGACAGCATTTATTCATTCTAAACCAATTCCAAACATACCCATACGAATTGCAACATGAGAAACACCAAAACACATCTATTTTACACCATTATAACATCAAACAACATTATTTCATCATTCCTTTTATCATCTGACACCTTAATTGTTTTCAACCTACAATTCGACGCAATAGGGACAATTCTACGGAACCCTAGAATTCCAAACCGGGATTCCCTAACATACTATGATCCATACTATTGAATATCTAAACTGATAATACAAATTAACTAATCGAAATCACCCCTTACCTTGTGGGTTCTTCGAATTCTGACGCTTCCGGTTTTCTCCTTCTTTTTCCTCTTCTCAAATGCACGTATGATGAATATTCCAAAATAACTCTCTTTCTCTTCTTTTTCCTTTTAATACTCCTTTTATTATTCCAATAAAATAATTAAATTAGTAATTAGTAAGAGTAGAGTATTTTACCCCTCACACCCTCTAATCACTCTTCACACCATCAATACTTATTTCCTTTAATTAATTAAATTAATTTCAATAATCCAAAAATACCAATAATTAAATTTCTAATTAAATTAATAATTAAAAATTCTAATTATTTAATAATCGGATTATTTGGGGTGTCACAAACACCACAGTCATGGGTGTTTAAGGACAAGCATAAACGAAGGACCACTTAACGCAAATCCCCTTGATCTCCCTTGACGCGCAAGCTGACTCTAAGTCATTACTCCTTCGTTTAGAAGCAACGACTTCGGGGCTCATGTTCTGGACTAGGCCCAGGCACGACCCAAAGTTGGGCACGATCCAATTTTCCCTCATGCCAACAACGACCTAATTGATGGCCCAATCCCTTTGGGGTCCAATTTGGACATGTGTTGCTCACGTGCTTCTTGTTCGGGGACACGTCATCAATGTGTTCTGCACTCTTCGGAGCCGTTACACCTTTCGTAACTGACGTGGTCAACCCACCATCCGAAGATCATAGAATAATTGACCCTGGACGAAGACCACATGCTGGTCTTCCCTACCCACGTAGGACTCTGGCAGTAATCTATTGTGGACCATAAAATCCAGCCCACGATGAAGACCTTAGCCCAACGCTGGGGACATTATAAATACCCTCTTTCACTTGAGGGTCAAGTATTCTATTCACTCTCATCAATTCTATACTTGCTCTATTTTCACTCAAAATATTACTATGGCATCATAGTATCTTGCATGTACACTCTCCATTTTCTTCAACAACTGTAGAACTAAAGTATTGCAGACCACTGAAGATTCTTCTGATCCCGGTAGAATCAGTAACCCTATACAATTTCAGAAAACGCGTGAATGATAAAATTAAACTTACAACTTCATTATAAGCCTTTGCTGAGTCACTCATTTAAATTAAGTCTTGTTGTCATGCCACCTCCCCATAATTAACGTTTTTAAGCCAATTTAACGTAAAAAAAAATTACATTGACTAACACCATCATTTTTAAAAGATTAATTTATAATATTAAAGTAAAATTTAAAATTAAATTAAAAGACTTTCGATTAATTAAGAAAAAAAACATTACTCATCTAAAATTTCATTTTATTTTTATAAATGGAGAACATTTGAATTATATTTGCAATTGCACAACTTAAGTTTCAAATTTTCCACATAATTCACAGTAACATTGCAAGTACAACTCCATGGAATCCCAACCTCCGCCCACCGGCACCACCGCTAGAAATCCTGCCGAACCCGTACATTCTCAGCCACAACAACCACCATCCTCTCTCCCTGCATCTTCCTCATCAGCCCCTCCTATCTCAGCACCATCCCATCCTCCCCCAATCCCTAACCCTAACCCTAACCCTAACCCCAAACCCCCCACTCCAGTCCTCCCCCAATCTCGTCCTCCCCCTTCATTCAGCAGAAACCCGCCGCCGCCACAGTCCCATTACTCGCACTTCTCCTCGATCCCACCTGCCACTCCTCAAACAGCCTCATCTTCAATTTCCTCCGCTTCCGCGCCAAGAGGCGGAATGGCAATCGGTGTGCCCGCGCACCACCAGAACCCCTCCCCTCCGTTTTCTTCTTCCTTTGGGCAACATTTCGGCGGACTGGGTCGATCGGATTCTACCTCAAATTCTAATACCGCTCAGGTAGGGTTTTATATTGTGATTATGCATGTTTTAGTTTTTGAAGCTTTCTGATTGAATGTTTGAATGTTACTGTTTATGTTTTTTAGGTGAGAACGCCAATCCAAGGAATGGGGGTGCTAGGATCTTTAGGTTCTCAATTTCGGCCAATGCCTTCGCAACTGAGACCGGTTCAGTCATCTCTTAGACCGCAACCCCCTGCTCAAAATAATCAACCTGCTGGCTCACAAGTTAGTATTTTGGGTTTACTCTGTTCTGTTGAGAAAGTGAAACTGAATGCTACTTATGAGTATTGTTGCGTGCTTGGAATTTTTTTAGTGTATGTGCATGTGAAAGCCTGTTTGAATTGTCTTATTCTATGTTATTAGTCTCGTCTGTTACGGCCGTTATCTCGGCACGGGACAACAAAACCAAGAAAACCAAGTCAGCCTTGTATGATATTACCTTAAATTTTTAAGGATATCAATATTATTTTATTGAATTTTAATGACATTTGGAAGTATGTTTTGCTTAAGACTTATGACTTATTTCTAAATATGAATACTTCATAAAAATATAATTAATTTATTTTAGTTTTTAACAATTATATGTTCATTAGAATGAAATGTATTAGTGTCCGCGTCACTAAAATATCGGCCATATCAGCTGTTCCGCTCCCCGCTCTTGTTCACTTCCATTTTTGGAGATGGCCGCCTTGCACCGCTATCCGAGATTGATAACATCGGTCTTACTTGAGTTTATCTATTTGCTTAAACAACTTACATTACCTTCATAAACGGTCGAAGATATGGAAATAGTTCATATCTTATAAGTTATAAGAGGACGATTTCACTTTATTTTGTCTTTTGTTATGCAAATAGCTATACATGAGCATTTATGTTATAAGAACTTAATTAAGTTGTTTGTCCGGATAGGACCTTAATACATTCAGCATTTTTTTTTAGTTGTTACCTGATTATGAGTTTTTTATGTGTTATGCTTGTAATTTTTGTGCCCTTTATACAAACACAATTTTTGGAGGGAAAAGTTTGTGATTTCTTAGTTTGTTATATTTTCTTCAGAGCTTCCAAGGTCATGGGATTATGAGACAGTCATCTGTGGGATCACCTGCAGCGCCATCTCCAAGTGCATCACAAAGTATGCAGTCAATTAACCAGCCATGGTTGTCATCTGGGCCGCCAGGGAAGCCTCCTTTGCCATCTCAGGCTTATAGGCAGCAATTGAACCCACAATCCTTGCAGCAAAGGACACATATTTCTCAGCCGCAGCAGCAGCAGTCCATGCCAACAACTTCTCAGCAGCCGCAACCTTTGCCTCCTAATCAAGCCCAAGAGCATTTTGGGCAACAAGGTCCGCCTTCTAGAGCTCTACATGTGCCTCACCAGCCACAGGTTACGAGGCTACAGGGACCAGGAAATCAGAAACCTTCGTCACTTGTGGCTGCACAAACTAATGCAGTTCAACCAGGGAGTCAAAGCAGATTACCTAATGCTTTACCAAATGCTGACCCAGAAGAGTTGGGTAAGAGTGTTCTCGGAAAAAGAAGCATCCATGAGCTAGTCAATCAGGTGTGCCACACAACTTGTGTTCTATAGTAGGTTTTTCTAGGTTCGTTTTCATATTTTCATATTTTTATTTATTATTTTTGGTTACATTTCGTATTCTTATTATTATCAGCACATTGTTAAATAAACATAACTGGAATGGAGTGAGATTAGATGAAACAAGACCATAATAGGTCCATTTTTTGGATTGTTTGAAATAGGTTTAAATGAAATGGAACATGATGAAACACATTCCATGCAGTTGCATCCAGTAATCCACGGGTTGAACCATCTTTTTTGTTCATCCCATCCCATAAACATCCAATTAATTACATGGTGATTTTATTTCATTTTGCTCCATTTTGTTCTATCCCATCCCATTCTTTTCCATTTAACTATTTATTATTAGATATCAAAACATAGTTTAGAATGACCTGTTATAATTCAAAAGAATTATCAAAGTTTCTTCCAAGGATTACTGGATTATTGTATTTATATGTAGGTTTTATCCTTTTTTAGCTACACTGTAGGGTTTCTGCAAATAGACACTTTCAACTTCATCCCTCTTAGTCCTTAAATTAAACTCCAGCAACTGTTATATTTGGTCCTTATGTCAATGTGGAATCAAGTTATTAACAATGAACAAATCTTAACCAATGATTATAGTTTTGATTTTAAAATCTTGGGATTATTTCAGTTTTTTAAAATTTTATTATTTAATTAGAGAAGGAAAAACACAATTGTGTAAGGTTTTGTCTTATTCTTATCAGTGTTGTCAAACTGCGGCCATGGCGGATTGCGGTTGCGGATTTTCAACATAGCACCATGGAAAAGCCACGGCGTTGCGGATTTTACATTGCGGCACCCTGGTGGCCGCCACGAGTTTAACGTGCATGGCGGAAATTGCGTTTTTTTTCAAAAATTTTAAAATTCTTATCTGGTATTTTTTACCAGACCAGTAAACAGGCCCAAAAGAATTATATCTGTGGTTAAATACTAATAACCACCATTAAATACTCTAATTAAATATTTATAAAACCAAAACTCTACAAGCTTTCCATTCTCCACAGACTTTTCTTCTCCCTCAGTCTCTCTTCTCTTCTCACGCTTCTCCACAGACTTTTCTTCTCCATCTGTTTCCCTTATCTTCTTACACAACTATTAGGTACTCTTTTTCTTCAGTTTTTTTTCTCTCTTATTTTTTATTCTTTTCATTTTTATTCCTTCCCACAGTACTCTCTTTCCTGTTCTACTTTGTTGGTTCTTCCTTTTCTTTTTCTCCTGCTCTGTTTTTTAGTGCTGTATTTATCTCTTTTTAAGTGCTCTGTTTTTATTTTATTTTCTACTTTGTGTAGTTTTAGACAATGCCTGAAAATCAGGAAACCTCCCTAACCTCTAGGGTTGGCGGTTCAAAGAGAAGTGACCCTAGATGAAAATATATAGATATAGTTAACGGAGATACAAACTCTACTCGCTGTAGTTTTTTGCACAAAATTGATTAATGGAGGAATAACAAGAAGTGCAATGTTCAAGTTTGCACCAAATGTTCATGCCAAATAACTTTAAAGAAGATTATGTTGAAGTTAGAGAAGAAGATTAGAGATTCAATAATGTTTTATAGTTCTGTTTTATAATGTCTTTTATGAATGGAATGTTTTGAGGTACTTAAGACCTGCCACATCTATTTTATTTACCTTATATATGAATTCTAGTTTCCTCCATATATAATTCCGTTATCTAATTCTTATGACTTCTGATTTTTGATTTTTTGGTGCTATTACTGTTTTTTTGTGAGTATAAATAATGTTTTTTGTTTGTCCGCCATGCTTCCGCAATTTTTCGTTCCGCCATCCGCCATATTTTTATGGCGGATTTTTGGCTCTCTGCAATTTTCCGCAATCCGCCATAGACAACACTGATTGTTATATTGTATTTAATATAAGTTTTAAAATAAAAAAAGGCTCTTCTAAATATATAAAAAATAATGAGTTAATGATTTAGATTTAATAGACAAAAAGTTGTGATTTTTTCTTAGTTAAGGAGTAAATCTAAGTTAACAAAAAAAAACCTATTGTGACATTAGTTGCAGTTAGGGACTAGTTGGGAAAAAATTGATGTTAAAAGGAGTCTAATTGTAAAAGGCGTAACAACTGTGGTTTATGTGCACTTTTCCCCAATGTTCTGAAAAGCGGCTTTTATTCAGATCCAAACAAACTCCATGACCATGATTTACAGGAACCGGCCATGAACTGCCAAACCCGGTAAAAAAACCGGCAGAACCGGTAAAAATCGGCGGTTCCACGGTTTGAAATGGTTGGGGAAAAGAAATGATTTTGAAGAAGAAAAAAACATTGCAAGGTTATTCTCTGTTCTTATTGCAGAATTGTCTCACTGTACTGTGGTATGTTGATGTAAAAATCAAATGAAGCGAGAGACGGAACACATGTACCTTCTATTGTATATTTGTTGTTTTCTTGCAACCAATAGCCATGCACCTGATCATAAAGTTAGAACAAAATGAAAACAAGATAATGAGTGCGGCAGCTGTGATTAGGAATTAGGGGTTTTAAGGGATTATGAATTTAGGTAAGGGCTTGTTTTGATTTTTGGGCAAATAGTAAACTAAACCAAATATTTTCTAAAACCCTACGGATGGTTTATCGTACAAAATTGTATCAACCAAACACATTTTCATAAATATAATACTAGTGTCCTGACGGGCACTCACGTGTCCGTTTGGCCGCTTTTTGTTTAGTGTGCACGCGTGAAATATTAAGATATTGTTTTGTAAACTTAAATTTGGTTTTAAAAAGTGAAAAAAACTGCAAATCTAGGAAGTTATTAATTGTGTGACTATGAAATATCAGTTACTTTTTATTTAAAATTAAGGTAACTGACTTCCACTTACAACCTTTAATTATTTTCTTAGTATTTACTATAAATGAAGGGTAAAATAGGAAAGAAAATAGGCTACACTAAATAAGAGTTTTTCCTTTATATATTGTTATAGATTAAATATGCTAAATAATAAAATTATATCTAGACCCCTAGATGATCATGTATATTTTTCATGTCTAATATTTTATATTTCTTTTTTTTTTAAATGATATTTGTCACCGGTTTAAGTGTGGCGGAACCATTGAACCTTAAACTTGTGCCTTTTCCGGGTCAATGTCTGGTCTGATTTTCAAAGCATTGCTTTAGTTACTTAAATATACTCATTCAAGTTGAGTGTGGAGGATGTACTGAGTAATCCAAACAATCAGAATTTTTTAGTTGAATATGCAGTTATGTTTCCTCATTCAAATGCATGGCTGAAAATTTGTGTAGCTTACTGAATGTATGACAAAGGAGCATACGTTCTTCACTGCAATGCCTTGCTCTAGAACTATGTCACTGCTTACAATTGCCTCACTCCACTGTTTCTGAACCATGATTCCTTAACACAACGTTGTGCAAAATTAGTAAAATTCGACTCTACTTTCTTTTAGATGTCATGGACGGGTAACAATTTGACTCTGTTTCATGGTTTTTTTAATGCAACATGTCATAAGGCATTTCAGTTTTGATAATTTTATTACAATTTGCGAGCTTGACAGTCCTATTTTCATAAATTAGGTATGTTTTCTTCATATATTTACATTTCTGCTTTATTATCAGGTTGATCCGTTGGAGAAGTTAGATCCTGAAGTTGCAGACATTCTTGGCGATATTGCAGAAAACTTTCTGGAGTCTGTGAGTTTTTCTTTTTGGTGTATTGTGTTATTATGGACTGATGGGATATCGTTCACATTTTTTGAAAACTTGTGTTGAGCTTTTCTACTATTTTGTTTTAATTTTTTATTTACAAGCTTACCTCCAGGCACAGGTTTAAATAGGGGCTAGTGCCCCCTCCCTCCCCCAAAAACAGTTTGGTATATGCATAATATGATAATATAGACATTAGTTTCTATATAATCTATGAAGCACATACACAAACATCGAATGCTGGCACAAAGATATTAGAACAAACTAAAAAGATAAGTGATTAAATGGATGTTTTGGTATCTTATTGATGCTACATAGCATACAATAGTAATATTATCATATTATACCAACACTGTGTGGTACATGTAATAAATGTTCAAATCTCTTCATATTTATTTTGTCGGAGATTTAATCTCTGACTGCTATTTGACCTCTTTAGTGAATCTCTTCACATTAGATAGTGTTTAATAATGTCTTTTCTTTTATCTATCCTTTAAATAGATAATTAGGTCTGGTTGCTCACTAGCGAAGCATCGGAAGTCAACAACTTTGGAAGCCAAGGACGTACTTTTACATCTTGGTAAATTACTGAAAAAATTGTCTGTGTTATGATTTCATTGTCAGCACTTTTCACAGTTTATATTCATCTTTTTAGAGAAAAATTGGAATATTACACTTCCTGGATTTGGCGGTGATGAGATTAAAAACTACAGAAAACCAGTAAGAATTATCATTCTTTGTTTCATCCTTATGTTTAAGTTTTAATTAATTGGCTTATTTTCTTTTGAATTTCATATTCTTGGCTTATACTTTGTGACGGTGTTTGTAGCTTTCAACTGATATTCACAAGGAGCGCATAGCGGCTGTAAGTTTCTACACCCTTTTTTTAGGTTTGCCAGCATAAACACGTACTGGCAAACTTCTTGTGCTACCGTTGCAGTGTCTGTATATTGATATTTCAATCACTGTTTGGTATGTAGTATTACTTTTGTTACTATTGTTGCGGTGATTAGTCTGTTTATCTTGATTTGGTTATATTGTTTGCAGATAAAGAAATCAATGATAGCAACTGAGGCTGCACATCCTAGAGGCTCTGCTGGTCAGGCTTCTGGTAGTGCAAAGGGTAGTCTGACAAAAACACCTTTCAATGTCATTGGTTCTCCGAACCTTAAAAATTCATAAGATGGCTGTGTTTGCGCTCTATACTGCAATCGAGGAACTGCTTTGGTGAAGGTAGTCCTGTTTGCAATTGTATTGGCCACATGAATTAATGATGATTTTGTGCCTGTGATGTTTTTAGGGCTATCTGTTTTTTCCCGGCTATTTCTGGGCATTTCCATGTAGCGGAAATGAGAAATAATCTGAATTTTTGAAGCATTGCAGAAAACATGATAAAGAGAAGCAACATTACAATGAAAAGTAAAAGGAAAAATCTTTGGCTTCTCTACGGCTTCACATTTTCTGGGGTTGATAAGTGTATATATCATTGATAGAGCAAGCTAGGTCATTTTGTGATTTTGTAATTTTGTAATTTTGTAATTTAGATTCAAACAATATCCTAAAATTTATATATAAAAATACCTTCACTGTAAAGTAACTAGAGTTACACTCTCTTCATCCTTTCTTCCTCTCTTAAAATCTCACTCTCTCTCTCTCTCTCTCTCTCTCTCTCTTTATACTGTTTTGAAGTTTATCAGTTGTCCATTCTTACTAATATGAAGTCAAAACTTGTTCTAGTTCAATTAAATATATGCAAGATTTTATGATATTGGATATTATTGAACAACTAATGTTATAAACACTTGACCAAATATTTGATATTGGAGTTATAGTGAAGGGCCACAAAATTGATTGTATGATGTCATTATCGCCAATGTGACCTTAAACATTTAAACACAACAATTCCATTATCTGTGTCTTGAGATTATACAAACACCCTTAATCCTAATTAGAGTACTAATAGAGAAGTTCTTAAAATGTGCTTTCCAAGCAACAAAAGTACATAATCTTATCTTTTATTGATAATATCTACCATTAGCTATATTGATTCAAAATTGTACCGTATAATGTATTGATTGCTTTTAAATTTCTTTTTTTTTGGTTTTTATCATCGATATAGTCCGATTCGAAGGTCAGTTCTGATATTAAATGATTTTATAGTCTCTTCCGATCACAGTTGTGGGAAATCGAATCGCGGTCTTTTCTACTAAGTCCAATGCTAAATAAGTAACTTTAAAATACTCACAAATTATAAACATAGTTTTCTTTTAAGGTCATGAGAGACTTGACACCACATATTTTCTAAAATTTTAAAATAATGAAAATATGAATCATCTCTTTTATAAATATAGTTTTATTTTTTACACATACTCCGTTATATGTGATCCACAATCGTATCACATATTCATAAATTTTTTTAAAATAATGAAAATATAAATAACCTCATATATATATATATATATATATATATATATATATATATATATATATATATATATATATATATATATATATATATATATATATATATATATATATATATATATATATATATAATCATTCACGTTACTAGTCTTAATCTATACTAAAATTACTACGTTCTTTTTTCTATTGAGTCTAACCATGAAATTTAAATTACTTGTTGAAGAATCTGGGAAGCGTTAGAATTGTTAATCAGCTAAACGTTCAAGATTCGAAAGACTTTGATATCACATATTCAACTAAAATCATAAGAAAACGATAATATGAGTTACCTCTCTTACATACTTAACATTTTATCCATTTCCTATCGGTGTAAAACTTAATGAGTAACACTTGAATCTCAACTCTTATATATGAAATAGGTGAGATAACCTCTTAATTTCAAACCCCTATTATATCTCTTAAATATCTTTAAAAGAAAACTTAAATTGCCAGATCCCAAAAGAAGTCTATGTCAAAACCAAAAAACCATTCTCATTGAAAAAGCAGTTAAACCAACTCTTTCCCATTTTCAAAGTTTATTATCTTTGTGCGCTAGACAGAGTTACCAACCTCACTGAACGAACCATTTCAACTTCCACATATAACTATACCAACTCCAACAACCAGCCACATAAAATCCTTTCTCATTTCATCTATATCAACAAAATCCTTTCTCATATTAATATTGTGCAAGATCCTTTCAATAACAAATGGCTTGTGTGTGTTCATCAACAGCATTAGCAGAGAAGATTTCATGGAACTGTGCATTGTTTGTGGCACTAATGTTGGTTTTGAGTAGCTGCGAATCAAGCACACGTGATGATGATGAGTTGAATGTTCAGATTCAGAATATGCTGCAGGAAAATGATTTTAGCAATAATAATAACAACTACAACAACAAAATTTGTGATGAGATATATGTTGTTGGCGAGGGAGAGACACTTCAAACAATAAGTGAAAAATGTGGTGATCCTTATATTGTTGAAGAGAATCCACATATCCATGATCCTGATGATGTTTTCCCTGGTCTCGTTATCAAGATTAACCCTTTCTTTCTTAGTTCATAAATATGTTTCAATATAGTTAGGATTATGTTTTTCAACTTGCATGGTTATGTATATGTAACAAATTTATGCCTAATTTGAATATCCATGTAGTTTGTTCATGTTTTTATATGTTTGCGAAATGAGTTTTGAAGAGCTAAGTTTATATTTTTATGTATGTATATTTGAAGTTTGTTAAAAAAATTAAAAGAATGATGTGATAAACATCTTATAATTTGTGCAAAAAAGTGAAGAAACATTAGTTAATTTAATTTAAAAATGAAAAAAAATGGTTTTCATTTCTTTCTCTCAAATAGTGAACTACTAAAAATTTAGGTTTGAACTATATAATAGTATGCACATAAGCAAGGAAATCTAAAATATGTCACGAGTGGTTTAGTAAAAAAATTCCGCACTTTAGAGTACTAAACAAATTAAATAGTAAGGCATAAAGCCACTATTAAAGTTGTTCAACTCTGCAATACAAGATGACAAAATTCAATCTTTTATCCTCAAGGTCATCATTGTAGACTAATACGCTCATTAATCCGATATCCAGAAGCATTGAGGTGTTCGTACGATTTTGAGTCACCTCGATCATATTTAAATCGGATAGGTCCTATCACCTATTTCATAGTTAGTTACGCTCATAAGTCCACATTTAACCAATAACAATCTCTAAGATCTTCCGAGTAAAGATAACAACCGCATGAAGTGTATCAAAGTCTAGTCACTCTATAAATAAGGGTCTCACTCCTAGGTATGATGACACAATAAGTTCAATCATCTAATACCTTATAGCGCACTATCTAACTTAATATTATCTTTTATACCTCATTGCATCAAGAGAAGTAGTAGAGCAAGAAGTAAGAGAGCATATTGCAATGATATGACTAGTGAAGCCAAGCCCACATCATTTGTTTAGGCGATCTATCTAGTAAGTTCATATAGAAATTGATCTTACTGGTTGAACAGAATCTGTGAAGTGGCCGGAAGATGATCTGTAGTCGGGCTATAAAGTTGAAGACTTATGAAGAAGTCACACCTATATTGAGGTCGGTCAATAGCAATCTACGTGCCATATGTTTAGAGAAATGACATGTAGATCATTCTCCAATAACATGTAACACAAGTAAGAAAGGAATAATATGAAGAGGGATGAGATCTATTAGATGAAATTAGGGTTTCAAATATCACCAACAACATTCATCCATTTTGGTGGATTTGGTTTTTCAACCTATCAACACCCAAGATCCAATGAGGTTGAGAAATTTGTCACCAAATGAAAATCCAAGTCCGGACCAAACAAAAATAATAAAAATGATATTTAACAAAACAAACTTTAAATGGTCAATAAAAGAAAAATAATTGGTAAAATAGACAAAGTATATTAAAATACCAAATAAAAATCCTAAAAAAATTTCAGAGGTCAAAGGTGAGTCAGTAATAGTTGACAAAAATTTTCAGAATTTTTTAAAGTCATGAACTATTTTTTAAAATTTAAATAAGCATTCAAAATAAACCAAAAATTGTAAAAAAAAGAAAAGTAAAATAAGAAATTAAAATAAAATGAGGTCACCAATATATGTCAAGAGGTCATTGGATCATTCCATAATTTTTTGAGAATTTAAAAATCAAGAAAAATATTTTTAATTATTTAAAACAAGTTGAATAAAGTGAAAAATTACAAAAAATATCAAATCACCAAATAAAATTATGAAAAAATAAAAGTCAGAAAGAGAAAATTCAAAAATATTTTTAAGAATTTTTTCAAAATTTTTGAGTCAGAACATAATTTTTTATGAGTTTTTTGAAGTTTAAAATAATTAAATATAAAAATCAGAAATAAAAATAAACTCAAAAATATGTGGACCATCTGATCATTGTCAAAACGCGTTAGTAAGCTAATTCAACGAATTAGACGCACTGTGCATATCACGGTCTTCAAGAAATAACACACATGATCCATTATTAAACAAATTTGAAAAAAAGTGTGGCAATTTGTCATTGGTTGAAGACAGACACGTAGGTCGTCTTCAACCTCCATCCACGTGATTTACAGGTTCATGAAATAGAAAGGAGTTCGAGATCGCTGCCATTCGCTTTGTCTCATATGAAACACAACTCACTCGATTTGGAAAAAACCCAGAGATGTTTTGAAAATTTTGAAATCAAAAACAGAAGCACCAAATGCATTGATTCATCAAAATTGAGTTAATAGCAAGCATTAGTGGAATATCATAAATCATTCCAGTAATTTGAGTTAGAGGATTTGATGCCTTAAACTACCTGAACGAAGTCAGATGAATATTTTCTGAAATTGAACTTGGCTAGCACGATTTAGGACACCACAAGGCTTGGTTCTTCTTATGTAAGCTTCTGTGAAGTTCAAGGATGAAGAATCAACAAAGGAATTGAGTTGAAAATTGGAGAAAAGATGAATTCGAAAACTTAGAAAAGTGAGTTACGGAAAGAGTTTGGCAGGATGATTTTGGCTGTCCAAGCTTGTTTTAATGAGTGGGATAACACCCTCTATTTATAGGGAAGTGAATGATGATGAGAAGCGAGGGAAATTGTGAGCAAATCGTGCAAACCAAGTCAGCTGTGATCATGCCAAATGTGTGACTTGAAATGCCTCAAAACGACTTCATACCAAGTGCAATTCTTGTCAAAATGCATTCGGACGATTAGTTAAACGTGGCTAGTTACTAAAATTTGAGTAATTTGACCTGTAATCCTAGTTTTTACTCGTGATAAAATTTTTCGACATGAAACAAAATAGATTTTATGGAGCCAACTTCAACAATGTGTAACTCACTACTCAGAGACCTTTCTGGGATGATTCTTGAAGCATTAGAAAGATCATGTAACACTATTTATAATGTGCCAATAAATAATTCATTTGGATGCTTTAGCGGAAAGTTATGCTTGGTCAAAATCAAGAAAAATGCGTTGACTTTTATACTTAGAAAAATTCAAGTTTTTTCCTTCAAAAATGACCTATAATGTTTTGATTCCAAACAAGGTCTTCCTTCAAAATTGAGCTTTGATCATGGATGGTAGCTTGAAGTAGACTACCTAAATATTATTGTTAAACTTATACCACTCAAAAATTCCAAATATTGAACAAGTTATGATTTTTTGAAATTGATGAAAATCCATGAGGTGACCTATAATCTTTTGAACTCAAAAAGCATCTTGAAATCATTTACAAGCTTAGAACCAAAAAGAGAGTTAAAGTTAACATACTTAAGATCATTTTAAAAAAATAATAAGCTCAAGATAATACAAATTGACAAAGTTATGATCCTTTGAAGTCACATAAAAGAATTTAACGGCCTATCTAGATGACTTGTAGTCTTTTTCAACCATTAGTGATCTTCCATATAAAATTTGCTTGATACTCTTGAAGTAATTTGTTAATAAACCTTTAAAGAGAAACATGTATTTGAAATCACTCAAAAATCTCAAAAGATGAATAGGATATAGTCCTTAGAAGTTCAAAACCCTAGCTCTTAAAGTATCAAAATGACTTGGAACCCCTTTCAACTTTTGATAATCTTTCTTGCACAATTGCCTTTGCTATGTTAAGATAAGTTGTTATGGATGATAATAAGAACCCACAGCAACAATAATCACTTTCAAAAGTTAAAAATCGAGAAAATTATGCACTTGTAATCAAGGAATCAAGAACTTGTCAAATTAGGTCAAACTTCTTGAATCAATCTTGTATCTCTTGACTTTCCTTAGAAAAGTAAAGCATGATAAGACATAGTAGGCCTTGTCATGACATTTTCTTTAAAGCACATTAAAAGATGAAGCTTAAATCTCAATGAAGCTTTGTTGAAGAAGGCATGAAAATAAACTCATGAACCTATGAATCAACCTTATGAAATGTGTTGTGCCATCACCTATAATTCCAACATCCATAGAGAAAATATATACATTGTATTTTTTAGTTAAAAGTCAATCAACACAAGATAAATAAATTATGGTGCTTGACGATCCCACATGAGCAAACTTAAAGATAGGAAGAAGAACCAAACCCTAGTGTGTGATCTTGATGTGATTGGGTTGTCATTGAAATGATGAGAGATTCTTAGGGGGAAAAATTAGGTTATATATATATATATATATATATATATATATATATATATATATATATATATATATATATATATATATATATATATATATATATATATATATATATATATATATATATATATATATATATTGTCTATTTTCACTTGTTTATATTGATACTAGTATATGTTTACCATATATGTGAATTTTACATATTTTGCATACTTGTGAATATAGTTTATATATTTGTTTCTCTTAACGTTTGCCAAAAGTGTGGTTAAATGTGTAATTCTTGCTAGAGCTCGAAGAGATGAGAGCAAAGGCGAGAGTGAAAGCATTTGGCTCATCCGAAGCAACATGTTAGTGTGTATAAATAACAGGCATCAAGCTTAAGGCGTAAAACAAGCATGTTTTATTGTTTTTAGTTTCTTTATTGTATTAGTATATGTAGTGTTGTGAGTTGGTTAAACAAGTTGAAATTGGACCAGTTTTAAAACTATCAAATCTTCACTTTTTAACTTGTTTAATTTAATTTCACCCGGTATTTTAGTAAATAATAATAGTATTATTTTTTAATTCTTTTGTTTGTTGTTTGGACTCCAATTTTGGTCTGATATCTTGAGGAATTATGATGTGATTTTTCAAGCTTGATCGTTTCAACTTGCGGATGTATGATAATGATATTGTTTGAAAAGTTGGTACTTTGCAAGGTACTCGTTTATCGCTTTCTAGAATATAACATGATTAAGAGACTTTTCTTTTGTACAATTTTTATGTCATTCATTCTTTTCTAATTTGTGTTCACTTTTGAATCACTTTAGGACAAACCCTTTTTATGAGGAAACTTTTCATTATTTACTATATGTACGAGAGTCCAACAATTTTTGTCTTAACTCAATTTTATTATGTTTAATCTTGCATTTATTTTGATTTGTATG